GTTTGTGCAGATGTGCTTTTTTTTCAATACTGGTTTGAACACCAATTTGCTTCGTAGTTCCAGAAATAGTTTGTGTTGAAACTGAACAAGTAGGTCTACTGCTCAGTTGCTTAATTATTTTTTGCAGTTCTTTTATCTGCAATTTTGCTTCCAGTATAATTTTTTCTTGATTTTTTTATTGAAATACACAATTCCTCTTCCGATTTTATAGCATTTTCCATGAATTCATTCATTTCATTTTTCAATTTGTTTATGTACCTGTCCTTAGCCTCCGCATCTTCAGTTAACACATCAATAGTTTTCTCCAACATACTTTTTTCAAAAAGGGAACTCTGTTCAGTATCTTCTGAAGTATTTTGGCAGCAAATTATTTTGTGATCCTTGACGAATTTGTATGCATTTTTACAACGTATCACACATGCTTTGTGAAATATACTTGAGCAATTTGTGCAAATGAAATAGGATGGCATTGTTTTAGTTTTACAACAACTAAAGTTGACCATTTTGGAAAAATAAAATGTATAAAAGTGGTTGGATTCAATGAGCTGGTTATTACTGATTTCCGACACGCCACTGGATATTTTTTTATTGTTTGTTTCTATTTTCGTTGTAAAAAGTTCAAAGAGAAAAAAAAATAGTAAACAGTAATAATTAGTAGTAGGTTATGAGCTGCAGTTATTCTAGATTTTTGCTTCACAATTTATACTTTTAGAGTCACCACTTCATCAGTTCAAAGAGCTTTCGAAACTCTAATTAATGATAGTAAATTAAATATTTATCGTCAATTTTTTCACAACAAAACACTCAATTATAACAGGAACAATTCACTTGTGTGTTGACTGACTAGCTGTTTCACTATTCACACAACTAGAAACAAGTTCACCATTCGAAAAAAGAACCATTCATAGTATCGTGTTAAAATGGATAGAGAAAAGTATATGGAGTGATAAGATTCACCCCTGAAACGAAAGAAACAGAAGAAAGAATTCCATTCGTTGGATAGGCATGTCTCCCACAAGTAATGCGCACGTGGTTCCAGTGAGAAATGCGAAGTAACGGGGAGAGGTTTTTTAGCCGTCACACCTACTGGTTATCTATCATAAGGGGATGTCTAAGAAGATTTTCCTCTCCCGCAAAAAAATTTCAAAACAAAGTCTAGAATATGAGACGTAGGTTCTTAACATAGAATTCGGGTCCAAAAAACGAGGACATTGACCGGAAGCAGAGAACGTACTTCGTGCCTGCTCCGCTGCGGATGGTTTCAAGTTTTCAGAGTTTGGCCAAGTTTCACTCTTGCTATCTAACCTGAAAGGGTACTGACTAAATAAGTTGTTTCGATTTATAAAGAAAAGCATTCGAAAAAGTTTACATATGTTGAACCACAATGCGTTTTGCTGTGGAAAGTCGAATAGCTCCCCTCTCACTCACAAATCTGTAGAAAAATTTGACTTTCGAGGACAGAAACAAATTGCAATATAATGCCATGAAAACCGAGGCACCAGGTAGAAATAGGTATGAAATGTTTCTAAGAAGAATATGATAGAACCAAAAATTATATTACCATAACAAACAATTTCGATACCTGGGTAAATCCAAATTGAGTACCAATGTGCCTTGCCACAATAACGTTACTGGAATAGCTGAGTCAGATTTTCAGAAATTTAAAACAGATTGATTTATGAAGCTCAAATTAGAAAATTTTTGAAATATTTTCCACATATAAAGAGCCTCACTCAAACCTCACAAGCATTCTTAGCAGCTAAGAAAATCAAAGTACTTGACTCTTTCGTCAAAATTTTTTCACGGAAAGCTTTCGACTTACTCAGCTCACTTGAATCTAGAAAGAATGATCTTTTCAAGGCTCTGGTTAATATATCTCGAACTACACTTTCCAAGAACTATTTCATTTGGAGAACAAGGGCCTTTTGGAATAATCCCCAGTGAGAAGTACTACAAAATTAATATAATCTGCAGGTGCGGCTGCTTCAGCATGTTGTGGATTTTTTCTAAGATGATGATTCATCTAAGAAAAAACAGAATGAAGATCATTTCTCAAAAAGCTACTCAACCGGTAGACCAATGTGGGGGAGAATGATGGGTTTCTAAATAGACGAAAATTCATTCCTGGAGAAATTCCAAATTTCAAGCCTGAGGATACATGGGTAAAATAAAACAAGCTCCAATTATATTATGTGAATGAAACACGCGTTTCACATGGGGGCTAAAACCAGACATGGTATATTGGCTATACACGATGGTGGTTAAACCCATGATAACATACGCATCTCTGGTCTGGTGGCCAAAGATGAAGCAGGCGCCCGCCATTAACAAACTAGGCAAGGTGCAAAGACTTGCATGTTTGTGAATGACGGGAGCAATGACAACTACCTCAACAGCTGCATTGGAGACACTCCTGAATCTACCTCCTGCACATATTGAATATGTGCATGGACCACATGACACCGAAGTTCACCTTTAATACAAAATTCATGGCCAAAATCATAAGCCGTGAAGAGTGGAAGACCATTAATCATTCCGAAAACATGTTTGGAAAAAACACCTGATATACAGATGGATCGAAGACCAAACATGGAACGGGAGCTGGAATTTACCGAGCGGATAGAAATCTAAACTACAGCTATCCGCTATGACATCCATCTTTCAGGCGGAAGTGTATGCTATCTTGCACTGTGCAAGGCTTATTAAATTGAGACCTCAAAGAAATGAGCTGTTCAATATTTTTACAGACAGCAAGAGCGCACTAGGGGCTCTGACAAACCCGAAGGTGACATCAAAACTGGTCTGGGAATGCCATGAAGAACTGAATGAACTTGCAAACAGGAACAAACCAACTTTGTACTGGGTGCTAGGCCATATAGGAATCACAGGTAATGATAAAGCTGATGAATGCGCTAGACGCGGATCATCAACTTCATATATAGGTCCTGAACCAGCTCTGGGGGTACCAAAATCATTGATACGAAACCAGATTAGGACATGGACCAATAAGAAGCACACAGAGTACTGGACAAAAGTACCTGGCAACAAACACAGTAGAACCTTCATTAGGGAACCGTCCGAGAAAAGAACCGAAGAACTACTTCAATATAGTAGGGATCGGCTCAGAATAATTACAGGGTTACTAACCGGTCATTGTCTGCTTAGAGGACACCTGAATATAATGGGACTGTACAACGGAGACCTCAGCTGCAGATTATGCAACGAAGGGACAGAAACAGCTCTACACATCTTATGAGAATGTGAGGCACTGAATCACAGGAGGCAGGCAATATATGGACGTACAAAATTACGCCCAGAAGAATATGACGAACATCCAACACGGAACCTGTACAAACTAGTACAGGGAACGAGACTGATGGAATGGATGTCATGAGAAGATGGGAGAATAAACGCAATAAGCCCAAGAGGCTGCAGTGTTTTCTGGAGACTTGGACTGAATGCACAAGTCAGACAGCTCCCAAGGTACAAAAAAAAGAGCGTCCAATGCATCCCAAAAAACATGGGATTTTGGGCTGGCAACTTCATCAATCAATATTTCTTTGAGAACGTCGGTTACCAGGCCATCACTGTCAACGGCGAGCACTATAGACCGATGATTACCAATTTCTTTTGGCCTAAATTGGGTGATTTGGACACCAACGACATGTGGTTTCAACCGGATGGCGCTATGTGCCACACAGCTCATGCCACATTGGATGTTCTGCACGAGCGATTTGATGGCATAATCATCTCGAGTGGAGTTGACGTAAACTGGCCACCGGAATCGTATGATTTGACCTCGTTATACTTTTTCTTGTGGGATTTTATTAAGTTACAGGTGTATGCGAATTAGCCACAAACCACAGCAGTCTTCAAAGCCAACATGACCTTTGCCATCGGTAAAATTCAGCCTGATTTATGCGCCAGAGTCATGGAAAATTGGACGTTTCGGATGCGCTTCACCCAGAGAAGCCGTGACAGGACATTTGAATGATAATATATTTCACACATAATAGCATCAATAGGTCATTCAAACGAATAAAAAATTTTGATAATATTTCACTCACAGTTTTTTTTCATTTAGATTTTGTTTGACTGACGATTCAATCTTTTATAATAAGTGATAATAGTGATTAGCAATAAATTGGCGCAGTGCAGTGCAGTTTTCAACTGAAAAATCCTGAGTTCGAATCCACCTTCGACTGGTTGAATGGTTCAAAAAGTTATTAATATAGCCTACCTACATTACGAGTAGTCCGGTCAATTCTGACATTCGAATCTAGCTAAATTTCCACCAAGCTGAAAATCAGTAAGATTGTTTAAAATATCATAAGAAATAAAATTTGATAGTTCCCCTTTTTTCTCCTGTATGAAAAAATATTATTCAAGGTCGAAGGTCAAAAAAATGAGTTTTTTGCGATTCTCAGCAGAACGGTAAGTTTCATCATAAAAATACATACTTCAAACAAAAATTGTAGATGATAAAATTTTCTACAAATACTGTTTTCCTACGAGCCACCGTTTTTGAGATATAACGATTCAAAAAGTTGTAAAAATTGTAATCGTTATAATATGCACACGTTTTCACGCCACCTATGAGGTAGTGTACTTAGCGCGTTTTTTTAACGTGGTTTCCCCAGTAGGCCTATTCCACGGGTCAGTTGTGATCCTGTTCAATTTGAAACTATTGCAAAATAATGGATATTAGCAGAGATTGAAAAGATAAAAGCAATTTAAGTTAAAAAAGTAGTGAAATTTAATCGTCCGAGTCGAAACTTTCAAATTCTTCTTCTTGTTCTTCTTTTTGATCCTCTTGTTATTCTTGTTCGTCTTGTTCTTCTTCTTGTTCTTCATCTTCATCCTGAGTACTGCCTTAATAGCGATGTATCGCATGTTGCCTCGTTGGAATCAAACGGATCCTCCACTGTTGGTGATTCAATATTAGAGCACGACCGGCCTTGACAATGTGTACATGCCAGAGAACAAAACAGTCCGGCGTTTTTGCAACCACATTTAGCACTGCGCCCCTTTTTGCAGTGGCAAAAAATTGTGTTCAGCAGTTCTTCCGGCGCAGTTGGAAGTTAAGTTGGACTGGTTCTAATGAATTGTTTACCAACTTCCAACCCCAGTCTGTAGGGTATAGCTGATAACCAAGCCACACTTGAACTTGGTAATATACTTGAGAAAGATGTTGATGAGCAGCAACTGAGGTTGGTATTTTTAACGAAACATGCATATCTATACTTATCTCTGTAGGTAGTTTTTTAGGAGAAGGAAGCGAATGCCGTTAGTGATAATTTTCTGTCGAGTTGAATTACTATTTTTGAAACTTCAGCACATTGAACTGAATTTTGTTTTTTAAACATTTTGAAAACTGTTATTTTACCCCTCCTGAAAAATGCAGATGTCGTATCACAGTCAGTTATTGCGTGTCAAAATAGTACATGATTTTGACACTGCAAAAGTAGTTAAACTTTTTGAGATGTATAGAGATGTATAAACGTGGCGTACTCATGAATGTGGCTCGTAGGAAAAAAAGTATCGATACATTTTTGTAGATAATTTTATGATCTACAATTTTTGTGATATGATCTACAATATTTTTATGATAAAACTTACCGTTTTGCTGAAAATGGCGAAAACCTCATTTTATTGACCTTTGACTTTGAATAACATTTTTTTTATACAGGGGAAAGATGAGGAACTTTCAAATTTTATTTTTAACCATATTTTAAACAATCTTAATGATTTTCAGCTTTGTGGGAATTTAGCTAGCTTTACTCTTATTTTTTGGTCTAATTTGACCGGACATATATTAAATTGTATCAGACTAGTCACAATACAGGAAATGTTATATTCATTTTCACATTGAAATGCATTCAGTTAATCGATGTGAAAACTGTTCGAGAGCATTTTCTAAAAGATGGTTCATTAAAACTGTTTCAAATTCATTGAAGTTTTCGATATTTACTTAGATCTTGGTTACTTTGCTGTAACATCAAACTCCTCAATAGATTGCAGAATCCACAGGTGAAGAAAGTGTCAAAATACCCAGATCGATAAAAGCAGTCCTTCATGATTCTCTATAATGTAATCCAGCATACATCTAATTGTTTTGTATAGTAAAAACTCTTGATAAATGTATTGAAATTTTCCAGAAAATTAGCCCATATGAAATATCAGATTGTATTGGTGTGAAATATTCCAGTTCAAGTACTTTTTCCATGTAGTTGTCTCATTACAAAGCAAACTGTACTTATTTTTGAAATTAGATTTTCCCTGTGTATTTCCGAAGTTAGTTTTTGGTAAATCATCAAACAGAGATATTTCTATTGACCAACCTGCTCGATAGAATGAACAAATAAATAAAGTTTATTATGCTTCTGATAACAATAAAATATATAGTTTCAGATTCCTCTCAAATAACCACACATCATTAGCAAGTTGCCATATCATTTGAAGACTAATGAAATTGAAGACTCGACTTCATTAGTAACGTTAGTCAGTCGACTGAGAAAGGGGTTGCTCCATCCCATTTTGCCATTTGTGTAAGTGAGAATGACCAAATAATTGTTAAATCTTCAATATCATCTTCGTTCACTACGGTGCCAATCATATATTACTTTCTTATTTTTCTTTGGCTCATAGAAGCCTTTTCGAAACCTCTCTAATTCAAATTCAAATTCTTTATGTTCTTCAAGATCAATATATGATATTGGAAATGTATATACGACACATACAAAAAAATGTGATCAAACAAAATATAACACAAGTTTTCGTATGATTGTTTAAACATATATTTTAATAACAAATTGAATGTTAGTGGTTAAGGTACTCACTATAAAAACAGATTGTGATAAAAAATGTTTTAAAAGTGATTTAGATGTAGATTGCATGTTCTAATTTTTATTTCTATTGGAAGATAATTAAAAAGTTTGTGTACCTCTGATTTATATTTGATGTATAATAATATCGATGATTTTTGAAATGTTTTCATACTAATGTATCTGAAATTGCCATGCGATAAATAAATAATTCAGAGTGGAGAAACAAATTTCGAAGATTTATTCACCAAAATCGTCACACGACCTCGAATATACCTTCGCCAACTCCTTTCCAAAGTATGAGGTCCCCCGTCATCCTTCCGGTATTGGTGACCTCCGCTATCTCTCAGATATTGATGATCTACTGATTTTTCTTGTAGTTTTTCTATTTTTTTTGTGGAACACCATGTTTTGGTATGCGTGAGAGATTTGTCATTTGATTCACTTTTTTACAAATTTTGAGTTCGTTGTTCTTTTCAACACTTCATCTGCAGTTTGCCCCGCTTCTCTGCATTGTCTCAATGATCGATTTGAGAAGACTTGTTCATGCCTTGTTCTAAAATATTCACCTCACTCAACTTCGTTTCCAGCTATTATCAATACAGCGCACATCTTCTACACAACTTGGTGGTCTTCAAATCGTTGATGAAGGCTTGTTTTCCACTCTCACTCACAAATTCTTCTGAAGCTTGTGATACTCTGAATTGATTATCATTTTCGATATCTGTGCTGTACATGGGCTGCTGCAAGTTGTTTCTGGTACATTGTTTCGAATATTGTTGATCACATCACATTTTGGACCTCGTATAATACTTCTGGCCAGCTTCATTCAATATTTTACGTTATATCTGAGCTTGATCACGCAGTTCCAAAAATTGAATCTTTAGATTTTTTCATCAATTTCTTTCTGGAAGATTCGTTACCTTCACTAATTTGCTTGCTTTTCCAAATGTATGATTCATTCTCAGTTCTTAATCATTTCAATTTCGTTTTCTTTCCCATTCATATTCTTCAACTACTTTTTTTTGTTGCTCAAGTTAGTTATTGTTTCTTGTTCTTCTTTTCTTTTTTGATAGTTTTCATTTTATTTCATGTTCCTGCCCTGCTCTTCAAATAAGCCATTTTTCATTCTTTGCTGTTTCTCCAGTTCATATTGTCTGTTGCTTTTTTGTTCCTCAGGTTTTCGTACAGCCTTTTATTTCGTGAAATATTATAATCTGTTGAAATCTATTTCATTAGCAAGGTGTTGCCTCTTTATGAACGATAAGTGAGCTGTGTATTGACAAGGTATCATCTTCTGATGTACGTGTCCTAGAATGGTAGTGAACATCGATCGTTTGGCCATGTGGTTCGAACCACTGATTCACATAGTCCACTCACGCTAACTCAACCGTAATGTTCATACAAAGTTGAACATTATGCAGGCCATTCATGCAGGCCATTTTATTTATCATGTGGTAACATTGATATATTCTAAACCGTAACAGATATGAAGACGATTAAATAGAAATAAAGGTGAATATAGTGGAGAACAGTACAATGGCCAAAGAAAATTTACAGGGACTTTTGCTCTTCTCGAGTTATGCAGGAAAAACTTAAAACGCTGTTTTTGATTTTTCACGAGTAGAATTATTATTTCAGAAAATATAAAAAATAGAAAAAAATTGTTGTAATCAAAATATATTTAAAAAATGTAACAATGAATTTGGATTGAGCGATTCGTGTCAACACGGCCACCATCAACGGGTTTATCAACTACAGATCTGTCCCTTATTACAAATATTGATGGAGCGATAAAATCACAATTTAGTGGTATATCACATCCGATATTTTTATAGAGTTTCATTTGAAATAACTAGCAATATCAGTGACAACAATTTTCAATTACTGTTTTTTTTTATGATGCACTGTTTGGAACCTTTGGTGTAGTAATGAATATTACTGGAGTTCTTTCCCAACAAAAATTGTTATTTTCAACACCTCGACACGGGTTTCGATCACCAAGTGATCATCTTCAAAGAGGAAGATTAAAACTGAATTTTAATTTTCCTCTTTGAAGATGATCACTTGGTGATCAAAACACGTGTCGAGGTGTTAAAAATAACGATTTGGTGTTGGGAAAAAACTCCAGTATTATTCTTTACTGTTATTTCGTTATTTCTTTTGTAAATATTTTTTATTTCTTCGAAATGTATCCATTTATTTGGCATAACTCAGACATTACCTAATAATTTCGATAAGATGATACCCCAACACAACAAACATTCGTAATATTTCTTTCTGGACATTTTTGTATTACAGCAATCCTTGTTTCCAAACTTATTTTTCCTGAATTAATTTTTTATACGGAATATTTTTATAATCCTCAATCCTGGAAGTAACGACAATATTAGTTTTTGATCAAAATACGAATGTTGTGTAATTTGGTACAATTAGCATCCCAATTCACTTAGCATGTTTTGAAATTAACATTCAGTTTATAAAGTTCAAATAATATCCAGAACAAGTTACTCTTAGTTTTCTTCGATATTTCTATTGCCAAGCAATATATTGAGAATTGATCCTGTTTGTGAGTTCGTAATAGTTAGTACAATTTCAAAGTTCAGGTTACAGTTATTTTTTTTTAAATGTGACTTAACAAACTATATTTTTATAAAAAAATTATATTTCCAATATCGAAAATTGAAGAGTGTTATTACCGTAAATGCGACAAACTGTATATAACATCAATTAAAACATTGAACAGACGTTCATAAATAAAGAACCAAAATATAATATTCAATAAAAATTGTTACGAACCGAATTCATCTCTCGAATGATCGGTTTTTCTATAAATCTTATCATTTCTCAAAATGTTTCACCATTAATTCTATTCTTTTTAGAGAGAACTGCATGATACAACATATTGAATTGATTTTTGTTCTCTTCAGATAACCCCTTGGAAATTTTGTTATTATTCTCGGAAAGGGAATTTCCAGGCGTTATCCTAAATTTAGAGGTCAGAATCATAACTACGTTATTATTTTTCTTGCAAACATTTCTAGATCAAATTGTAACTGTTTCTGTTGTGTTGTTCTATGCCATCTCTGGTCAATCGATGATGTTGCAAAAGACTTTTGTTGTATCGTTGTTGGAGGTGAGTGACTCTTTATAGTTCGTTAAGAAATATAGAAACTATAGTAATGACAATGGCTTAAGAATATGATGATAGTATCATTGTTCATTGATTGTTTTCAATAATATATTCTTTAACTCTCAAATATATAAAAATTCCCTTCAGCTTAATCAATTTACTGTGCATTTGTGGTTTATCTCTTCATTAGGTAATGAGTATAAAAATATGATTGTTTTGAAGAAAAAAAAAACAACAGTAGAAAGTATTTTCAGAGATATACCGAATTGATATATTAGATGGAAATTATAAACACAGCTGGATGCAAAGTCTCCTAAGTATTATCAATTACTCATAATCAATTACCTAAACAGACCAATACTTGTGTTAGGAATCACAAGTTAGTCTTTACCTCGCACAAGTTTCGTCTTTTGAGAGTGGTCGTTCGTAGGGGGACGGCAGACAAAATTATTTTGGTATTTAGGTTTTTGTACCAGAATACAGATACTTCTATAGATACTTTCTCGGGAAGTGTTCAAGTGACTTGGCCCATTTGATTTCACCAAGAGCGGTACATATAAGAAATACGCGAGGGACTGTGGCTGCTCATCGTTTTGAGGTTCAACTCAGTACACTTCGAACTTCACTGATCAAGAACTCATTCATTTGGAGCAGTGATTCTTAACCGGTGGTCCGTGGACCACTGGTGGTCCCTGGAAGCATCCCAAGCGGTACGCGGAGCCATCCTTATAAATATATTAGATGAGTCGACACGATACAATGCGACCCGCCGATAAAATGTTTGAAGAAGAGTTACTATTTTCTCAAGAACTTGAAACGACGTCGCAAGGTGCAGATGTTATGGATGCAATAATTCAATATATGGAGAAACATGGACTTATGTGGGGACGGCTTGCAGTGTTATGTACGGACGGTGCTTCTGCTATGCTTGGTTCTCACTTTGGTCTTGCAGCATCGATAAAAACCAAAAATCCGTTTGCAATTACTGCGTTATTCATCGTAAAGCACTAGCTGCCGAGTCGCTTCCAGAATGCTTTGCTTTGACGATGAAAGTAGCTATAAAATTATTAAATTTCATTGAAAAGAATGCACTCAATACTCGTCTCTTCAAACAATTGTGTTCTGATATGAACTCTGAACATTAAACTTTGCTTTTCCACACGAAAGTGCGTTGCCTTTCCAAAGGTTGAGGTTGTACGAACTAAGAGAGGAAGTAAAACTATTTTAACTAACAAGGAAAACAAAGAGTTGTTTGATCAGTTTTGCGAGTCCAAATTTCAAATATATCTTGCTTATTTGGTCGATTTTTTGCGCAACTGAACAAATCAAACCTTCTACTGCAAGGGTCGGGAAATTTTAAGTTGCAAGGCATGAACAATATTTTTGCTTATGAAAGATAAAATCTGTGCGTTTATTGCTAAAATCGAGCTATGAATCAACAAGGTCGAAAGTAATAACTTGTATGTATTTGATAGGCTTAATCAAATTATTGTTGGACAGAGTGCTGAAATTAAAGGAGAAATACAAAAGAATATATTACATTTAAAAAACTCAAAAGTTGAATTCAATCGCTATTTTCCCGACCGCGAGAATACAAAAGAGAATAGAAAAACTGATTCGCAATATATTTATTGTAAACGTTCCTGAGGTGCCTGATGAAGTTCAAGAAGAAGTAATCGATTTGCTACACGACAGCAACTCAAAAGATACATTCGAATCAGGAATTCATTTTGAAGAATTTTGGAGCCAAAAGGCAATTTCTTCACCAAAACTTCGAGACATTGCTATTGGTTACCTAACTTTATTTTCTTCGACATGTCTGTTTTCGGCGCTTCTGATTATTAAAAACAAGTACCGAAATTGGTTGGATGCCAATGCTGATATGCATTTAAGTTTAAGTAACATTGAACCAAGGATTCAGAATTTAGTAAAGAGTATACAACCACAAAAATCGCATTAATTTATAATTCAATTTTTGTAGTTACAGGTTTCACCTAATGATTAAAGGACATTGAATAATTTCATGCGTATTTTATTTATAGATGAATTAGAACAACCATTCCATTTATTTACTGTATTGTATTGTATTTATTTGTAGTTATCGTTACTATTAACTACAAACTAATTAATCAACTTGGTGGTCCATGGCCTGACAGAAATGTTTTATATATATATGTTTTATTTTTCATCTCTCATTGTATGTTGGCGATAAGGTCAAAAAAATCACTGTCAATAATTTCATTACTATCAACTGTCAACTTCACATCTATTCATTTAATTTAAAGTTAAAAAAAAACTGTCACTTTCTCTGTGACTCCAACATAGTCGCCATGGGAGATCCTGACTTAATAAATACTGAAAGAGAAACATTGACTAATGTGTAAATCATGTAAGTATTATTATTGATGTAGAAGTGAGGTAATATAAAAAAAAATCTGTTCTATTTTTCCGTTAATCAGCTTCAGGTAATCATAATTGGTAATTCGATGAAGGTAGTCCCAATTGAAGTTACTTGTGGTATATGAATATTAGCGTATAAAGCAACTTGTAGTATTCAAATCACTGTTGAAGAAGCTACTGTGTTAGCGAAACACATCGTGATATATTTTCCAAATAAAGTTTGTGGAAATCAAATCGTGAGGTGTAGTTTATGAAAAAAGCTTTCTATACTCGTAAATAAGTTATGATGCCATCACTACCACTCACCTTAATTTAACCGTCTTATGTGTCTGGCCTTATGTTGAAATATGACTGTGGAAATTCAGCCTTTCATCAAATCACTTTAACCACACATCATTGATATGTCCAGTAAATAACTCCAACGAGACACTCCAAATACAGATGAAACTACCTAGAAAAAAGAATTCATATTCAATATCAGCAAAAAATGTGAAAATATAGTTTTTGTTATAAATACACTCACTGCATTCGATATCAATATCCGAATCACTGCCATTGAAATTATTCATTATTGGATTCATAACAGTTGCAAGATGATTGATTATATGAATTTTTGATTTATATAATTTTTGTTTTTGAAGTGACCTCTCTCTCTCCATACTGGTGAGTCCTAGGAAGCTGAAATTTGAATATAGGTCCTTCTTAGGTCTTATGCGCCCTAAAAAAGGATTTTTAAATATTCCAACTGGAAGTTCCTTCTAATCAATGTTTCTCCGTACCGCTACATTTTCGGAGACTGACTGTTGTATGTAGGTTCGTTTTATGTTGTTGATATGCAGTAAGAAAGGATTTAAAAATATTCCAACTGGGGAGCCCCCTGGGCATGAAAGGGGTGCGTTTACATGTGGAAATGACTTTTCATCACTGTTTCTCCGTAACACTATATTTTCGAAGGCTGAAATTCTGTATGTAGGTTCGTTTTGTGTTGTAGATATGCAATAGGAAAGGATTTTCAAATATTCCAACTGGGGCGCCAGCCACGGGTAAAACGAGGGTTAATGAAATAAAGTTACCTTTTCATCACTGTTTCTCCGTACTGTTTCTCCGGCTGAACTTTTGTTGTAGATGTGAAATAAGAAATGATTTTTGAATATTCCAACTGAGTGCCTCCACTAGGAATAGAAGGGGAACGTTTACATAGGAAAATTACCTTTTTATCACTGTTTCTTCGTTGTTCGTATTTTTGAAGGCTAACATTCTGGATTTTCAAATATATCAACTCGGGCGCCAGCCGCGGGAAAAAAGGCGAGCCAATAAAACAAAATTATCTTTTCATCACTGTTTCTCCATACCCTCAAATTTTCGGTGGGTGAATTCATATTTGGTATCAGTTGAAAATACCAATAAAGGACGAAACTGCAGTAACTTCAGTTACAAATATAAGTGGTAAAAAAAAGACCCGTGTGTTGGGCTGTCTATCGAGCGCGTCTCCAGGTGGCGGATAGGGGAACGGCCAGGAGAAGGAGAGCGAAAGAGGTAGGAGTGGCAACAACTATAAGTGCACCCTCCTCCTTCCTCACTCTACCTCCAACAGCAAGGGCACTTCCTGCGGCGGGCGCAGATCTCCGCCTTGAATGAAGGCAAGGAACCGGCAGCCCCTACAGGAAACCGCCATCACTTGAACACCTCCATTAGGGGAACCCCAGGAAGGTTCAAGAAGCCGCGCAACGACAGTAATGTCGCTGCACCTTCCAAAACCTTCGCGGAGGCCGCTGTGAGATACCTCAAGGTTGCCAAAGAGAGTGTGTGTTCGGCGAGTCTTGGCCTCTACCTGCCGATATGTTTCCTAGTAACCTGTCCACCTTCCTGGAAACAACAGGATGGACGATGACCTAGGAGGACAACTCCTCGGGAGGATGTACAATGTGGCCTAACTACTGTGGGTATACTATCACCCTCCCTACTATATACATACATACAAGTAGTAAAAATATAAACATTTTCATTTCTCATTCTCCGTGATGATCTCTTGCCAAGAGTAACGGCTACATCCATTAATTTATTTAGTTACAGCATAGCACCCATGCGGAGCCAAGGCGGCCGCTAGTACAATATAAAAGCAGTTGTGATACCACATGTCTCTGTTCTGTCCCTTCATTTTCACGAAACATTAGAATTCAAATTTCAAACAACTGGTTTTTTTTGTATGTTTCTTCGAAAACTCTATCATTGAACTATTCATGCAGCACTTTATTTTTACGGCTCTGGAAATTGGTTGACTGAGTTGATTAAAAACATAATAGCACGTCTCCCTATGTATCGTAGAGTTTTTCGAGAGTTTTCTTTTCATTTTTAGGTACCCATTCATATTTTTTCCATTGCTGAGCGTTTTCTACAATGAACTTTGAATAAGAAAACCTTTTATGATTATTTGAAACATATCTACATCAAAAATATATTATATGTGTTTTAATAAGCAGAAAAAGAATGATAGCAATAATAACATACGAAAAAAAATTGAAATGAAGTAATTTATATAGGTACCCAAAAAAATTATTGGCGCAATAAATGTTCGAATTGGAGCCCTTTCATTTCAAGACATTTTTGAATTGGGTTTTTCATATTATTTATTGCCCTGAAAACACGTATTTGCTGCATTGTTGCGAAATCGTTCTAAATCCTCTATTTCGAGTCTTCCACATTTTCTATCTCTCTGCCAGCGTAAATCCTATTTTTCAATGTCCTCCTTAGAAAATAGTCCAAAATAGTAAGATCTGGTGATTTTGCAGGCCATCTTATTGGCCCATTATTTGTCTCGAAGTACATTCGAGACAAATAATTTGAACATTTATTGCACCATTAATTTTTTTGTGTATATAAATTACTTCATTTCAATTTTCATTACAATTATAGTGTTCATTTCGGATGTCATATCTGTTTCTGCTCATCATATAATATATTTTTGTTGTAGATATGTTTCAGATAAACATAAAAGGTTTTCTTACTCGAAGTTCATTGTAGAAAACGCTCTTAGCATTGGAAAAAATATGAAAAGGTACCTAAAAATGAAAAAAAAACTCTTGAAAAACTCTACGGTACATAGGAAGACGTAAAAGTTGCCATTGTGTTTTTATTTAAATCAGTCAACCAATTTCTAGGGCCGTAATTTAAAAGGGAATAATGAACCCAATTATAATCAAATATTACTGAAACAAATATTACTGAATATAAAATAAAATTCAATTTCTCAGTATGAAGTGAACGTCTACGATCCAAAAACTACAGCAAAAAATACAGGCCTGTATTCAAAAATTCAAAGATGGGGTGGCCCAAGTCAGATGACACCCTATATTAAAGATTCATGGACATATTCTGATACCCCACATCAAGTGCCAATAGCAAAATGTGGACAGATTTTCAAAATTACCTTCGTATCAAGAGATGTATAACTTTTTTCGAAAATGAGTGGGACAGTTGATTACTAAACACTTCCGAAAGTACCGATGAAAACTTCTATGTACTTTCTAACGAATCCAATTTAGAAGAAGAAATGTTTAAGGAAAGTTGTAATTCTGACTTCAATGACACAATGGAATTTCAGCCATTGACTGATGTCGACAGTATCAAGCAATGATTCCTCAATATCTACAGAAACCAGCTACAACGGACTTTGTTCCACCAAAGAACGTTTTGACTTCAACACGAAAACCAACATTGACTAAGACCTAAGAGACACAGGCGACCACCAGCTACACTGGGCGACCTATATAATCACTTATATAAAAACATAGGCTTTCATGAGCCGAGTCACGTTTAAAGAGAACAATATCCGGGCTAGTAGGCTATGATCGAATGGAACCTAAGTATTAAACTTTTCAACTGCTGCTGCAGACATCATCAGGACGAAATTTATATTTCGAAGTCTCGACCACGGCCTACTGGCCCGGATTTTGTTCTCTTCAATCGATAACCTGTGTGGGTTGTTTAGCGAAACATCTTCTAGGATATCTGAACACTGTAAAATATTTTAACCTGTCTACGACAGAGCAACTATGCATGTTGGCTGTTTGTATACGTATGTTCCACTTGACGACGATTTCAACTGAACACAGTATACATAACAATAATTAACTTTCCTTTCAGATTTCATTTATATCAACTTTGAGATTTGGCACAGTTTCTTCGCAAATGGATGGAACAACTTTGTATTTTGCTTTCGGAAGCAATTTATCTACAGCTAGAATGCACATTTGCAACCCGAATGCAGTTAGATACGGTATCGGAAAACTAAATGTGAGTTTTTATAATAATAAATACTTGAAAATGTTTTTATGTCTTTTTGGTTTCGCAGAATTATCAGATTGATTTTATAACTTATACCAAAACTTGGGAGGGATACGCAGGGACGATCGTTCCTAAAAAGGGTAGCCATGTTTGGGGAGCAATCTGGGAAATAAAGAATGAAGATTTGAAAGCCTTGGACAAGTGAGTCAAAACTTGGTACCCTACTAGAGCTATGTTTTTCAATATAATGATATCTACTTATTGGGTTGTTCCAAAAGTTTTGTCCGTCATAAAGTCATGTGTTTATTTTGTAGCTCCATACCTCAATAAATATTTATTCTACTGTGTTGTGATATATACTGATCGATTCAGATTTTTCCATTCTATAACAATGTATAGAATAGAAAAATCTGAATCTGAACACCAATGCTGTTCAATCTCTTGTCTCTTTTTAACTTATTACTATATGATGTCGTTAAGCGATTTCCATCCAATTTTTCTCTACGAATTCAAATTGAACCAAAGTGCTGCCGAACCAGCCCCAAAAATTAACGAGACATTTGGCAATGTTAATGACTGCACTGTTTGACGTTGAATTGCGAAATTCAGTTCCGGAGATTTTAACCTCAAAGTTAAGCCCTGAAGTGGCCGACCCACAGTATTCCAGGACGAATTTGTCGACCCTGGTGAAGCCTGACCTATCACAAACGGTGTGTGGGATAGCGGAAGAACCGGACGTTAGCTCCCATGCAGTTTTTGATAGTTTAAAACGTATTGAAGAAACTTGAAAGCTCTAAAAGTGGGTGCCTTACGATTTGAAAGGCCGACTGAATTTATCACGTTTCGAAGTCTGTTCTTTTTTGCTTTTGCGCAACCAAAACGATTCTTATTTGGATCTGATCGTCACGTGTGATTGAAAGTGGATCCTCTAGGATAACAGGAGACGTCCAGGACAGTGGTTTGACACTGATAAAAAAAGGTAATGGGTTATGGTATGGTGATCAGCGGTTGGTGTGATTCACTATAACTTTCTGCAACCATGCCAAACCATGACAGCAGAGTTCTACTGTGCGAAAATTGAAGAAATGTACTAAAAATTGCGTCAGCAGTCCCTTATCCACGACAACTCCCATCGGCACGTTTCCCAAATCATCGTCCGAAAATTAAACGAATTGAGCGTCAACGTTCTGCCTTATTCACCAGACCTCTCGAAATCATACTACCAATTTTTCAAGCCCTTCAATAACTTCCTTACCGACAGAAATTTTACCAATCAGTACCAGGCAAAAACGGCTTTCGTCGACTTCAGTGAATCCCGAGCACACAATATGTATGCTGACGGAATTATTCAACTTATGTGTTACGTTGGCAAACGTACACTGATTCAGATGGCGCTCATTTCAACTAAATTGAATAAGTATTTACTGAGATATTACAGTTTGAAGTAGTCTCATAAAAACGAACAAAACTTTTAAAACAACCGAATACATACATATCTAATATATAAAAATGAATGTTTGTTGATTGATTGGTTAGTTGGTTGTTTGGTAAGTGATAAACTTCTACATCGCTCAACCGATCATGATGAAACTTGACATGTATAAGAGAAGGTTTCTAGGCTATCATTTTTCTGTAACTCGCCACTAGATGGCACTGTAGAACAATTTTTTGAAAGCACTGTTCTATAACGCTAATTATATTTCTCGTTCACACAAAAGGGTTTTTAAAAACTTTTTATTTGAACAGAGTAACAACTAATAACTATGAAATATAAGTACTGGCTATTACAAATCGATTGCACATATTTATATATAAATTATTGCCGACTTTGCAGATATCAGCAAAATAATTGATGTCGTCTTCGGGTCATCGAATAATATTCTGCTGATGTAAGGGGTTATCGATCTGTAACTCACTGCTCACGCCTAAATTCGTTGATTCTGATTCTGTCAAAACATTGGAACAGCAGCGATACAGCAACATAGTACTAATTAGTACTACAACTACTAAATTTTACGCGAGCGAAGCCGCGGGCAGCAACTAGTAGAATACAGACTACATGACACTACATACACTACATGAATCAATTATTTTCGTACAGGTGGAAATCAGTTTAATAGACTGAATTATACGCTTCATAATTACCTTACTAGGAAATATAAAACTGTAGTTCATCTATGTACAGAAAAACTGTAGAAATCTATTTTTTGAGAATTATTTCTACTGTCTGGGATGAATTTCTGAACCACTTATGTAAATCTTTTTTAATTTTTAGAATTCCATTATCAAGTAAAATCATTAGAATTTATCTAACTTTTATACGTTTTTATTTATATTATATAGGGTGCTAGTGAATGAGTGTTACAAACTTCAGAAGGTGATTCTGCATTAAAAAATAATGACAGTTAGCTATATAACTTTGGTCAGCAAATGCTTCGTTTACCAAGATGCGAGGTGTTAAATTTTGTCTTAAATACTAACTATTTATATATTGCTTTGAAACTAGTCGAGAAATTTTGTGGGTACATTTGCTGACATGCAATTAAGAACTTTATGAATATTAGTGGAGTTTTTTCCCAACACCAAATCGTTATTTGTAACACCTCGACACGTGTTTCAATCACCAAATGATCATCTTCAAAGAGGAAGATTAAAACTAGAAACTAATGCGAGCTAATCCTATTTATGCTATATTAGGTATCCCATACAGGTAAACCATCTAGGCGTACCACCCATACAGGTATACCAACCTAAATTGATTTTACAATTTTGCCTTATCTATTATTTTACAATATATGTTTATATAAAACAATTTTCAGCTATATAAAAATTAATTTCACAATATTGCCTATCCATATTTATTTTTGCAATGTGTCCTTATGTAGTAATCAGTAACCCAACAACCTCATTTTATTTTATTTTAACAAGCTATATAGGTCCATCATCGTTTACTTACTTACTTACTCTACACGCTCATAGGCCTACGAAATTGAATGTAAGGACTGCAATGCAAAATATTATGGACATACAAAAAGATCTATTAAAGTGAGATATAAGGAACACATAGCACACTTAAAATATGGAAGACCTGAAAAATCAGCAGTCGCCCATCATATTTTGCAACAAAACCATTCCATAGACTTCAGTTCATTAAGATTAGTTAGACAAGTTAACAACAACAGGCAACTAGATGTCACATTCGACACTCTGTCGAATGAGGCCCTCATGTCCCCCGTTAAAGGATGAATAACTTTTTCATCCATCCCACCCCAGCCAGGTAGGGGTATCCCGTGAAGGGCGGCACTGATGTCTAAGGACTTCATGCCGTCATCTATCAGTTGTGTACCCATTGGTCCCTCTCAAGGCCAATAATCAGCCAAAAGGGTAGGGGAGCTGGTCTCCAAACCTGGACGAAATCAGGATGACACGTCAGCACTGGCTTTATTGGTGTTTGCTATTTTTGGAATAGGAATATCAGCACTGCTTTTCAATTCATATGGTATTTTTCGTATATATCGAGATGTATTAAGTTAAGTAAAATATGACCAATGGTTTCAAATACCTCTTTGATCATTTTACAGTTCAGCGTTTCATATATGGAGAATTTATTGTATAGGTTACTAACTATTTTTCGCAAATGTTTCATAGAGAGCAATTCGAAGTCTTCGAATTCGCGATATAAATTATTGTTCACATTATGCCAAATTTCAGTTATGTCAATACTTTGTATAATATCATTAATATTATCAACAAAATAATTATCAAAACCACAAGTTACTTCTATGTTATTCGTTGAAAATCTATTATGCTCATTTATTCAAAACATGCAATTCGAGACATTTTGGCTATTGTTGTCAACCAGTTTCTTCAAAGTTTTCCACATTTCTCTGGGATTATGTCTATATCTGTCAATATTGTCAAAATAATATATATATTTTTTTAAGATTGACATCATCATTTATCTTGTTGTTGTTGCTACTCGATTTGAAACTTTTATATGCTCTATCTCTTGAATAAATCAATCATAGTCAAACCATGTCAACTTTCATTGGTACTTACTTATTTCCATAGGGGCATTTCTATTAATTACAGTTTCATATGTCACCAAAATTTCATTATACAATGTCGACAGAAATTAAATTTAAAAAGTTGTACATCATTAGGTTAATTGTGATACTGTCTAAATTTTCCTTATTAATTTTTCTAAATTTTTTATGTTCTCATTAACCTTGATTCCATTGCCTAAATTAATTGAAATAACCGAACGATCCGTTATTTTTGGACAGTCATGTACTTCAGCTCCTATATTATTTTCATTGATATTGAATTGGATCAATTGGATTGATATTGGATCAATTAATGAATTACTGATTCATACTGTAACACGTGTAGGCTTTTTGACACTTTTTAAAATACCATAAGCAGAACAAATATTTTTAATATTCTTACCATAAAAAGAATCGGTCGACCAATCAATATTAAAATCGCCAACTAATACACAACGGTAATTAGTACTGAATAATTCATCAAACGTTTCTTCAAGATCTTCAATGAATATGGCCTCAAAACTTGATGGTGAATGGTACAAACATCCAATCAGATATATTGCAGATATTAAATTAATTTTTTATATTTTACACCAATACCTCTTAGTTTAAATGTTTTATAATGTGTGAAAGTATGAATGTATTTCACATAAATTATAACACCTCCCGTATGTCTACTTGTTGAGTTGCATCGAACGTGATTATAATTTTCCATGTTTATTTCACTATCTCCAATACCGTCTATTTGTCTTGTTTCACTGTCTTGTTACACTTTCTTGGATTTCATCTCTACTTTAATCTTCGAGAGTTTAGGTAAATCATGTCTGAATTCAAAGGTATATTAGGTTTTTCGACAATTTTTTTTGATATTGTTTATTGACTATAGTTGTCGTAGAGGTTCTGCATTCCTTAATCTGTCCCTCTAGTTTATCAATTTTCACCAATAGCGTAGGAACAAGCTTAACTCCATTTTGGCAGTCTTCACAGTGGAACTTAAGCGTTCTCTTGCCTTTTAGGTCTATGACTTTGACTTCGCTGGAAGTAAGTCCGGAAAATTCTCAATGCGTCTCAATCTTTGGCAGCTGTCACATTTTATAATATGATCACCAGATGCATGCACAACATTTCAATTTAATTAATTAAAATAATCAATTAAGATTTTGGTGTTAGCACCAACATTATTTCTTGGCACCCGTACTATTTAATCCGTCATCAGACCACAAGAAATATCAGATTGCTAGTTTTTTTATTCAGCACCACAAAAAGTATGTTCACTACAATGAGCTATATGCAGTTTCTATTACCAGTTTTGTGGTAATTTCTTCTTCTGTCTCATACTAGTTTTTCTTTCTACATGTAGATAACTCTCTGCTTCCATATATTTAACTGCGGGAGTATTCGTATTCACAAGATGCCCATCCACTCTTCGAAAAGGTAATCTTTAATCTCCAGCCATGATTGAACATTGTGACTACAAGGGAGGAGGATGCTCGGTGTGTCTTTCTTTACAACTGTTCAGTCCATGTGTGCCCGGAGCAGAAAAGAAATTCGAACTTCAAACTTCATCTGGGGTTTTCGACTTCACTTCAAAAATTTTTGAACTGCGTTAGTATTAGGAATAGAGTGCCTAGGTTGAGGGGCTGCAGATGTACTGAAATGTATTTCCAGAAGGATTCATTCCGATTCGCGATAGGCGAGTTATCTCTTGAAATAAGCAAGGTGAAATTCTATATCAGAAATGTTACAAGCTAAAACTTAATTTTGAGTAAACTTTTATGCTATTGACCTTTTTCAGTCAGGAAGGTGTTCGGTTCAACATCTATCACCCCATCACCGTGGAAGTTGAAACTCCCAAAGGAGAGATTCTGCAATGTAGAAGCTACAGACAAGTTGCAAGTGCAGAGGAAGTGAGTCTTGAAAGTTTACCAGAAGAAAGAAAACCGACACCAGCTTATTTGAAAACCATGATAAATGGTGCTGTGGAATCGAGCCTTCCAGAAGAATATATAAATTTCTTGAAAAAAATATCTGATAATGGTGCAAGTGTTAAACCTAATTTGAAATTCCAGTTCGAAATCTGCCTGTAGAAAAATAATATTCATTTCTTTGAATGAGATTGTTATTATGTAGCTGTTAAATGGCTGGTGTTTTGCTCTTTCTGTCCAAGAAAGTTGTTCAGAATTGAAAGGTAAAAGTAGGAAAAGGTTGAAAATTGTTGGCCTGAAATGTTCTGAACAGTGACAGACAATGTGTAGTAAAAATAGTAATAATTTATTTCGAGACATATTTTATAAGAAGGTCAGTAATAAATATGTTGCACCGAACATTTTATTTTCACGAACCTGAGTTACCTCAAATAAAAATTGAACTTGAATAGTTATAAATATATTACAATGTATTTACAATTTCTTTCAACTAGTTTTTTGTTAAATATTTTGATTATTGTAAATTAGTTCATTATTTTTTAATCTCTCTATCATGACCATGAATTTCCACAAAACAAGAGACGGTTTTTGTTATAACCCCGGTTTTTATAACAATTGATGCTACATCCTCTGATAAACGTGATCCAAGTAGTTAACATTAGCATATAGTCATGGACAACAACAGTCTGTGAGCTGGTGTCATAAAAATTATGCATAATGACGTACAGAATCCGAATAATTCCTTTATGACTTTGTTGAGTTGTTCGATCTACTTGAAAAATGGATTGAAGCTGTTATCGTTTAATCAAAATATTGAAGAAAGACGAATGTATTTTCAATCCTTTTTTTTTGAACCGATTAAAACTTTCAAAATAAATGTAATTCATAATACTTTCTCTTGATGATACGTGAATGCCGTTATTGAAGAGCCTTTAGTATACCTTGATTTTAACCAAAATGTTGAAATCCTTTACAAATTTCATCCCAGCTTTCACTACGAATCCAGAGGTAAACTACTAATGAGTTTCAAAACTCTTGAAGGCTTCCATTATTTGTTCTTTGGTATAAACTGTGTGTCAACGTATTCATATGTTACCAATGTCATATGTTACCCATGCACAATTCATCCGACTTTCTTTTTTTTTGTGAACGATTTTTTTAAACTATGTATTCAATATTGAGAACCAAATGAGTTGCCTTTCCAAAACAGAAGGATGAGATACGTTTATTTACAAATTCATCTGCAAAATAACGAAATATGCCTTTTTAGAACCATCGTTTGGTTGCCTTGGCGATTGTACTGGAATGTGAAAAGTTTGACCTGGTATAAAAAATAGAATGTGACTTATCAACCTAACATCGCAGAAGGAAAAAAGTTCAAGGGTTGGAAAAAAATATTTGTTCCACTGGTACAGCAAAAACTATTTTTGACAGGATAGCAAGGAATTAAATAAAATGATATCCAAATACAAGGATGGAAATGAAGATAAAACATTTGTGATCAACTTGATACAAAAGCAGGTTGAATTTATTTATAATAAATTTGGTATGTCTACTATCAAAAGAAGTAGTCACGTGTCTGTACCCTGCTGCAGTTAAGTTAAATATACTTGTAAATGTAGACACTCTGAAGTGAAAATTTGGAATAAGTGGCTGATGGAATTATTAAACAATATATTTTCGAAATGAAATACCTGGTGATAAGAAGAGTGGGGGTCAATTGATTGCACTCACTTGTGAAATATTTAATTACATGTGACCACGACAAAACCCACAAAAACATTGGCGCCAGCCTCGATAGCGTGCATTCCTATATAATTCAGTAGGAGATTTGAGCCGGTTCTAAGCCTCCCCCCACCACTATGACGTATTAATTGCTTTTTTTTTGTTGTTGTTATTTAGTGAAGTCAAGGTGATGTGACCTTGAAGTGTCTGGTTCATGGATCGTTCAGATTTTTTTTTCATATGAGATTTTATGTGTGTGTGTGTGTGTGTGTGTGTGAGAAAGCACTTTACAGGGTTTCATAATGTGCTTGTCTATGTACAAACATACGTCTGCATACTTCGAAGATCCTACAAGTAATGAATGTTCCATCGGTGTGAGCCCAAAGTTAGTAGTGGTGTGACGTCACAGCAGCAGCAACCGTTCAACGGTAAGAGAGCAAGATTTTCACTCCACGACGTTTGGTGTAATGCGTATTCATCGGTGTGCCCTCACCTCTCTCGAAGTGAAGAAGGTTGTGACATAACGCATCGCTCTAGCCTCGCTATCGATGGTGATACGCAGGTGGCCGAGGACTGTGCTAACGTCTGCCCTCTCCGAGAGCACAACGACCACTGCCTGTTCGTATCGGCATCTGTTATGTCCGTTTCAAAAGTAGACTTGAATAAAATCAAATAACTTGATTGTACAGGATTGAAATACTAGAGCAAAAGGCTTTATCATCATTACCAATTGATGAAGTATATATAATTAAGAATATGTCAACATATTCTACAAGGTTTGGAAAATCAATTTCATTTACTTTGGAAGATGTGAGCAATGATAAATTATTTAAAACATGGCTACCAAAACGTATTTCGTTGCAATTTAGTGATGACGATATAAGTTGTATCAACTCAACGGGTGGTAAATATACGATGGTGTATTTAGGTCAGAGCCCGCGAAGTTTTGCAGGTATAAAAACGCGATCTCTAGTCAAATTCAGTATGATTGAATGGTAATAGTAATTATGAATAGTGAATTTCTTTTTGTTTTAATAATATTCATATATTAGATAATTTAGATGATAATTATGTGGAAATATAAACATTACTGACTTAGTTGAATACAGTCACTTTATAAGTACAAATAGAATAGGAATGTGAGTATTATATCATGGAAACAAGTTGGAGGTTGCTAATTGTTTTTTTTATTTGATTTCAGTTCCACCATTCAAAGATGTGGATGCAGTATGCAAGTCAAGATTGGGTCGATGTTGTAGATCTCAAATCATCGGTTCAACATTTGTCATCTAAATTGAAGGTGTTGGTGATGGAGCTGAACATGCAAGCAATTATGATATGAGTGTATGCTATGATGAAAAACAAATCGAATTATGTCTTCGTTATGCTGAGAACTATCGGAGTGGCGCTGAAGTTTGTAACAAATGTTTGGATAATGAATTGGAATTGTGGCAACTTTGTGAGGTTATGATTGAACTGAATCTGAGAAGATTCCTGTATAGCCTCCAACCATACTTGCCAGAATGGATTAATCATCACTTTGAATTCAATGATGAAAATCGAGAGGAAATTGAAGATGGTCACGAAAATGATGACAATACTCACTTTCAATCCAATCGATTTAAAAAATTTAAGATCACTCACAGACAGAGCGTTATGTGCTAACTGTTTAGCATACACTTGTGGAATGAGCTTCTTTTTATGCACACTTTTCTCTTTATGCACACTTTTCTTTTTGATAGTGCAGCTCGTTTTGGTTTGGAATTGTTCAATACGATTTTGTCTATTGTAAATGAAACCCGTAACAATAGTTATTCGATTTTCTTCAATTCCAAAATAATAAAAGTCTCTTCTTCACTTCCAAAATCGAAAAGGTTATTTTTTTCATCCAAAATACGCACTGTAATGTTGTGAATCAATTAACCACCTTCTGGACTGACAGGCATATATATAATACTGTGTGGTTCTTTAGTAAGATTGTATCCAGGTTCGACATCAATATCGAATGAGAAAAGAATGTGGGATTCTTCACCATTTATATATGAACCAGATATTATATTGCAATCTAAGCGGATAAGTCTGACAGTTGTGATGTTTATTGGTAATGAAGATTCATGTATCTGATTTGGTGTAAATATGTCATGAGCGAATCCCATCATTTCTGCTATAGAATTTGGATGTGTCAGATCAATTTCATATTTGGATCGCATTTCACAATTGAATGTATTATTATTGGCCTGTAGATAGAAAATATCATCTGCAACGATATCAATCGGTTTTTTATCATGAAACAATCTGAACATGATGTGTTTCTGTATGACGGCATTGATCTCTTCTATTTCGTAAGCACTCATCCCGACAGCTTGTAGCTCGAACTTTCGTGACATAACTGATGAATATTTTGAAACACATTTCAATTTATTGTTGTAACAGCAACAGCGCATTTGAGACAATTTACACTTTTTGAAAGGTGTTGTATTGTAATAAGAATCATTTTTATTGATACCGATATTCACATCCTCTATATTACAAATACAACACATAGATTTTCGAGGTATAGGACCATCATTAACTGAATCTAAATTTTTATCGGGGTGGTGTTCATAACAATATCTATGTTTCATTATATCGATGTCATCTTGTAGATGTTTGGGTAACTTTTCCCAAACATATGCAATCTCAAATATGCCCAAGTATCACTTCCTTGGGCATATTTGCAAGCGTCACTTTATCCATTATTTTCAAGGTACCATATTTTGAAAACATTCCAAGTGAAAAACCCATTCCCTTGATAGCCTCCCGATCCAGTTTTGGTGTTGTATCCATTTTTTATTTGGAAAATTATTCAGAGAGAAACTGTGAGCACAAGTGACCACAGAGAACTGTATTAAATTTCTGTTGACGATCATAGTTATATTTGATTTTTACATTCGAACATTTTCGAAAGAATCGAGTCAATTCCAATGGTGGGGGTAGATCTCCAAAACTATCGAAATATGTGACTTCTTTCCCACATTTTTTATATGCCACCCAATGTGTTCCTGGTCCACTTATTCCATCTAAATTAACAATAGCTGTCTCGTTTTGTTTTGGACCTGAAGATGGTAATCTATCACGCATAAAAACACCACGAAAATGTGGAATTTTCATTTTTTGTGCATAATAACTGAGATCGAGATCAGTAAGAGGCCTCTGAGGTAGGGGTTCAATTAGTTTTTTGTTTTGTTTGTG